AGCCAAGTGTCTTGGAGTCTCTTTCCAAGAAGATGAAATGGGACACCCACATCACGGACACAACTAAGAAAGGGAATCAAAGGTTATACTTACTATGTAGACTGCGTCAATTCAACCTGCCTATAGAAGACCTTCTGACTGTCTATACGTGTTTTGTCCGCGCTGTGTTGGAGTACGCTGCGCCACTATGGCACCCTGGCTTGACAACAAGACAAAGATGCAAGATCGAAAATATCCAGCGTCGAGCAACAAAGATTATTCTGGGCAAGAACTTTACCAACTACTCGTCAGCCTTGAAAGTGCTGAAACTCGCTTACAGATGTTCTACGCCCGCTTACAGATGTTCTATAAGATCACAAATAACATTGTAGCTATGCACATGCCGCTAGCAAGCAAGGGGCTACGAGCTCCCTCTCGCACTGAAAACAGCTTAGCCCTCCACCCTCCAAGCTCACGAGCTGACTATCACCTAAATTCCTTCTTCTCTAAAACTGTTAGAGAATGGAACCGCCTACCAGATAGTGTGGTGAAAGCAAAGTCACTGCAGGCATTTAAAAATGCCATTCACACCTTGTAACCTCAAACAAGAGTCACGGGTACTCACCGCCACCCAGCTGGCGGACAGGGAGTGGCGCCCCTGCCCATTGAGGAGCTTGTAGTCTGTAGCCAACAGACTACAACAACATATATATACACATCATATACACAATACAAAATAAGAGCGACACCCCAAATCCAAACCAAAAACCCCTACCCCTCACCGTGCCGGAGCCCTCAACTTATTGAGGTTGTGCACGTACGGGAAAGAAGAAGAAGAAGAAGAAGAAGAAGAAGACCCCCACACCCACCCACACGCACGATTTAGCTTGTATAAACAACGCTTTCGAAGACACGCTACGATCTGCGATGTCTCTGTGCCTTACATACGCTCCCGTACCATATATACTGCTGATTCACGCCACTATCTTTAGGTTAGACTATCAAATATTGACACATACATGTAGGCCAGTCACTGGCGAGTTTTCACACACAAATTTTGTTTACCCCAAAAATATCGGCGCCATTTTATACAACATACAGCCAATACTAGAAGGCTGTGGCACGTTGTGGCCGACTACTGGCTACATATGAGGCTTGAATGCCTGTTTGAAGAACGTAAACAACTTAAGGTACCTCAAATGAGCCAGGGACTGTATTTTCCTGTAAGGAATTTTGCCCGTGCCCCCGGCCGCAAGGTCAATGCCCGCTCTCTGAAGTTGTCTGACCCCAAATGTGGTCAGCTGACGTCTACGTCATCAAGTCGCCAGGGGAGCGGGGAGAAAGGTCAATGACCGGTCTCACCTCCAAGCAGATGTTGGTTGGGAAAATTTACAGCACTACTACAGGGACCAAATAATCCAGTTTTTGTTAAAAAAAAAAAAAAAACTGTTGGAGACAGCTTATTTTGCCCGAAACACCAGCGGAGTAGAATACTAATTAAAAACTGGATGGACACATTTGCGAGCAAATACAGAATATTTCTCTCCATCTCCCTCCTCGAGGCGCATACAGAAATTGACTGTTGTTCATTTACTTCTCTGTTCAGTATGTTAATTTAACATATTGTTAATATCAACCTTTTGCTGATTTGCTGAAACGGACTTTCCTTTTCCAAATGGACTATCCCAGCATCACTCCATTGAGTCCATTCAATTTGAACCGCTCAAAATGGTGTTTTCCAAAACTTCTGATGCAATTTTTTTTCAACTTTTCGAATATATGGATTGTCATTTGGTCCATTTTTATTTCATTTTAATTTTTCTTTCGTTTTTCTTACGCTTTTGATTTTGATCCTTGGAGGTAGAAAATGGGTCAAGTGAATGTGTACCACCCGTTGTTGCAGTCTACAAGCGCCTCCTGACGACAGCTACTTGAAGTGCAGATACGAAAGCCGGTCACGTTGAAGCCCGCGATTTCTCGCGAGAAGACGACGCTTGGTCGACGACAGGGAAGGCATCATGGCGGACGCTTCGGCGCGTTCGCTTCAGTACGAGTACAAAGCGGTAAGAAACGGCATTTAACAACACCGTATAGTGTTATTAAACTACCTAACAATAGATAAATACATTATCTATCGTGTCGTTACCCAAAGATGGCTCTGTTGCTGCAGCTTTTTCTAGTTTGGCGCGACTTTCTGTAGACACGTGAAAGCGTGTTTTGTTGTGTCGCATGATCGTAAGGGGGAGGGGGGCAGGTTGGTTTGGAAGTCTTTCAGTTTCACTCGTCGTGCTTCACCCTCGAATGCTTGGGTGTAGAGCGTAATTACTAAGATCTAGGATTTAAACTAGCTTTATGTGCTTGCAGAAAAAAACAATCCATTTTAAAAATCATAGATTATAATAAAGCACTAGACATAATTTTAGAGTAGTGTGTGAAAGTTATTATGTAACGGGACGACTAAAGAAACTTTTAAAAATGTTGGTTTAATCATAAAATTTTTACATTGCAATCTTCATCAGTGAAAAGACAGGAAAGTTAAAACCTAATCTGGTTTAAACATTGCTGGATAGCGGTCGAAATGTCTCTTAATCTGCAGTACTTCACTTACTTCCTGCTTAATTCTATAATATTGATATGAAACAAGATTTATAAGTATTTCCTGGATTAGTAACCATCTGGACTAAGAAATATGCTCTAAAAACCCTTGCAGAACTCCAACCTTGTTCTCCAAGCCGACCGGTCGCTGATCGACCGCCGAAGTCGCGATGAGGCGACGGGAGAGGTCATGTCCCTGGTGGGGAAACTCCAGGAGAGTCGCATGGGAGACCGCTACCAGCGCACTAAACCCCCGCTCATGGAGGAACGCAAGGCTAAGTATGTAACAGTACAGCACTCTTCTCCTTTTCATATATATACTAGTAGTTTCTTAGAACTAAGAACAACCCCTGCTGGGGTATTAGTGAGGGGGGAGTGTGTGGTTAAGGCTACCAACGCACAAAACTTGGCCGTTCATAGATGAATGGAAGGCCAAGAATGTACACAAAGCTCCATAGATTTGGAGGTGCTCTTCTGGATGGGATTGTCTGTGGGTTTGTGGGCATGCTTGGATGACTGGTTCTTTCAAGTTCTAGAGATGTATATCTCAAGGTATATCTCAAGGTATTTCTCAAGGTATTTCTCAAGGTATGGCCGCAAGTTCATGAGGAAGAGGCCCTGCCAGTCAGCCCCTGACAGCGAGAGATCGTGTGACACTTAAGCTATATTAGAAATGTACATCCACAAACTCTCAGGGAGGAGACTCAATCAGCCCCAGATTTTGACTTGACTTTATTGGGATCCACAATTTCCACAGCAAGACTGCCAAGAGATTTGTGTGTAATACAGGCTAACCTGACCTTGTTTCCTCCTTCTGCTGCCCCTCAGACGTAAGAAGCGAGATGAGGACCAGTACGACGTGAAGAAGATGAAGGGGATGACTCTGCTGTCGGAGGGGATAGAGGACATGGTGGGGATCGTGTACCGTCCCAAGACACAGGAGACACGACAGACGTACGAGATGATCCTTAGTGTCATCCAGGACGCACTCGGGGACCAGGTAAGGTTCATTCATTCATTCTTTATTTCAGGTATAAAAAACAAGTTTCTGTAGAGGGCATCTGAGTTCAACAAGTGTTTGATGATGCAGTTGATGGAGGAGAGCAATCTGTTTAAGAAAGAATGCCTTGATTCACACCTGTTTGTTTAACCTTCTTCCAGCCGAGTACCCAGTTGAAAGTTTTGAAGGCCACATTGGTGGGGAGGAGGTTAATACAATGTTGTTGAATTTGAGAGGATTCTAACCATTGTTCTCTTCACCAAGAACTTCAGAAGAAGGTTATGTTTTTGGTGACCAGGTATATTAAGAGCACACCTACAACCTTCTACCAGCTGTGCACCCTCATAAACAACGTAGTTTTTGGACCCCCTGGCATCTTTCCTTGGTGCTGCATCAGAACTTCCATTCTCATACTAGTATTCTGGACATTAGGGTCATGATATTGGGTTGGCAGATATGTTTTATCACGTGTGCAATGCATTGTCCTAAGATAAGAAGTTAAGACTAAGATTTACACCCTAACCCGTCCCCCTGTAGCCGCGAGACGTCCTGTGCGGCGCTGCAGACGAGGTTCTGGCCAGTCTGAAGAACGACAGAATGAAAGAGAAGGACAGACGGAAGGAGGTGGAGCTCCTGCTGGGGTCCATGGAGGAGTCACGTTACGCCCTCATCGTCAACCTCTGTAAGAAGATCACCGACTACGGAGGCGACAAGGAACAACGGTGAGCACTGCAACCCATGCAATTCCAGGGTGGCAAAACTGAGGAAATTCTGGATCAAGAAATCTGTCCACA